AAGAACTTGGAATTCCTATCTATGATGAAGAACAAGTTATAGGTGATGGTGGCAATAATAGCAATGATGCAAATAGTGATGGTGAAGAGGTAAAAGAGGCAATTGGGGGCAACAACTGTAAAGTGCTTTCTCTCACTAGTGGTGATAACTCTTCCTATTTTCAATTTGAAGATCCCACCCCACAATTGCACACTATAATAGTTGGTTGTGCCAATAGTTGGTTGTGCCAAAACCTTCAGTAATTGGTTTGTGGATATTCAATCAGACCCATAACCCAGGCCCCAGGATCAAGCCCTAATGTCAATGCGCACTATTCGAATTGAGAGAGACTTCGTGTTTAGAGCAAGAATCGTATTAACTCATTCAAAACCCGATGGCGAGTTTTCTTGAACCAAGGGAGAATGGAGCAGATCAAGAGATGGATCCAATTTTTTTTTTTTTTATTTCATGGATTTGGGATGATCACATTAGAACAATTGGAGTGAGCAAACCAAGACCAGAAGAAGAAGCATTAGCAAGAAATTATGGTATTCTTTCTTTCTAGTAAATCTTTATTTTTTCAAGTTGCGTTTTTTGGTGATAAGTGAGTTGTTTTATTTTTCTGAGGGACGTAGAATAGATATAGCAAATAGAGGAGTGGATAATAGGAAGTTTTATAGTATATATTTCAGAGAAGGGAAGTGCCTTTTTTTTGGGTTGGGATGGGCGGGAAGGGGAAGGAAGGAATCTATAGGAAGGAAAAAGGTTTAGAAGAGGTCTCTTCAAAGGGGAGGTGGCTGTGTTAGGAGTTTTTTTTAGTGAATAGAAAAACAAAGTTAACGTGCAAAGAGAGAGAGAGAGAGAGAGAGAGAGAGAGAGAGAGAGAGAGAGAGTCTTTCTTCTTGTTATTTCTTTCGTTTTTTGGTTTGTTGTTGGTTGGTAGGTTCGTTCGTACCGTCCCGTTCGGTTCGTCGTCCTTACTTTTTCTTCGACTAACTCTTCTTACTACTAATTAGTACTTTACTTCTACTAATACTAGT